TGGAGAGGCAGGGCAGAGGCTGACCACAGGTAGTGCACAGGCCACAGTCAACCACGCACAACCTGTGATCTGTAGTGGTATTAAAAAAAAAAAAAAATTAAAATCGGCTGGGCGCGGTGACTCACGCCTGTAATCCAGCACTTTGGGAGGCCGAGGCAGGCGGATCACGAGGTGAGGAGATTGAGACCATCCTGGCTAACATGGTGAATCCCTGTCTCTACTAAAAATACAAAAACATTAGCCGAGGCCAGGTGGCACGTGCCTGTAATCCCAGCTACTCAGGAGGCGGAGGCAGGAGAATCACTTGAACCCAGGAGGCGGAGGTTGCAGTGAGACTGGGTGACAGAGGGAGACTCCATCTCAAAAAAAAAAAAAAAAAAAAAATTAAAATCAACAACATGAAACAAAATACACTTTTAGATACAAATATGCATTTCTAGCTCCTTGTGGAAAAAACTGGAAAATCCTGTCACCTGGGGCTTATGAGCCATCATAAGTAGACTAACATAGCAGCAGCCCTTCAGATGGGATAAATGCCCTCCGATTTACTGCAGCCATCACCACTCCTCTCTACCATTCCACACTGGGCCCCCCTCACCTATTTATCACACCTGCCTGGGCGCTGAGGAACCCTGAGCCTGTGACGCCTCTGTGGGGGATGGGAGCAGGGAGGGAGACTCACCTGTCCATCAGCCACTTACTATCTACATGAAGCTGAGCACTTCTGACAATCAGTCTTAGTTTCTTTATCTGTAAAATAGAGCTAGTATCACCAACCTCGGTTTGTTGTGCAGATAAAATTAGGTAATTTAACACTGAGCTTAGTGCATAAGTGTTTAACAAATGGTGGCTGTTACTACCAGAGCTATTGCAGGCAAGTGCCTCGTTCAGAGCCACGAACTGCCGTAATAGTACACATGGGAACAAGGGGTAAGGTACAAGCCACTCAGTCCTTCCATGTGGCAAAATCCTGACCTGCTGGCATTTCACTGGCTCTACTCTGGTTCCATTCTTTACCTCTACCATGAGAGACGGAGATACAGCAATGACATCCCCAGGTGCACATGAGCTCAGACGAGTGCACACACGTACTAGTATGTTAATTCAGAAATTCAAAGATCTAAACTGAGCCAGATGGCTGGTTCTTATTCTGCTTTCTGAGAATTTTTCTTTCAGATAGCCAACTCAAAGATTCCCAAATCATCATTACATCATGGGCTTCTGCAAAAGACAAAGCTTATAACAAATCCAAAGAAATTAGCCCCCCGTGAATGGGTAGCAAAGCTTTCCATGTGTCAGAGTCTGGGGAGAAGTTTGAGACAATTGGAATATCCACCCTAAGCCTGTCAGACAGCAGTTTAAATCCAGAAGATCATCTGACTGACATAGGACTGACTCGTTTTTCTTGAGCACGAATTAAACAGATGGTAGCGCCTTAACTGCTTTTCCAGAACTACCTAGGGAACAGCTTCAATGCTGTAATTTTGCTAAGTGAAGTGACTGCAGTTTTGTGCTTATGCATCTGACAGGAAGCACTGTATATCTCCCGTGCCCAAATGGGCCGCTGAATGCCACACCACCACATAACAAAGTCCCCTCTATTATCTATCTTAAGGACTAACTATACATATAATAGCAAACCGTGTGTATTATTTTACTTTATCTTTGAAGCACAAGAAAGAGAAATTACACATGGCAATGTGTCCTTCTTTTCTAGAACTCTTCTTGTTTGTTGGTGTTTTTGCTACATTTTGTTTTGTTTTTTGTAGAGATGGAGTCTTGCCATGTTGCCCAGGCTGGTCTCAGACTCCTGGGCTCAAGTGATCTTCCCACCTCAGCCTTCAAAAGTGCTGAGATTGTCAGGCATGGTGGCTCACGCCTGTAATCCCAACACTTTGGGAGGCCAAGGCTGGCAGATCATGAGGTCAGGAGTTTTGAGACGAGCCTGGTCAACATGGTAAAACCCCGTCTCTACTAAAAATACAAAAATTAGCCAGACGTGGTGGCAGGCACCTGTAATCCCAGCTACTGGGGAGGATGAGGCAGGAGAATCACTTGAACCTGGAAGGCAGAAGTTGCAGTGAGCCGAGATTGCATCACTGTACTCCAGTCTGGGCGAAAGAGCAAAACTCCATCTCAAAAAAAAAAAAATATTGAGATTACAGGTGTGAACCACCATGCTCAGCCCTTTTCTAGAACTTTTAAGACCAACACCCTGTCAAATAATGCTGGAAAAAGAGCAGATAGTCAAAGACCCAAAACTTGCTATCTGAGACTGGTGGACCAAGGCCTTGCCCATTGGAGCATTCACACACGAGAAAAGCTAGGGGTGACTAGGGACATTCAATAAAGATTTTCTTCAAGGGGAAAGTCGCTTGCAAAAAACTTGAACGTTTTTCTCTTTACAGGAGCTCAGTAATTAATTCAGTTGCCATTTCACGAAACAGAGTCCTCAGGGGTCACTTGTTGATTTTGCTGCCTGGCTTTTGTCCACAGAACTCCAAATATCCCTCAGAGAGCCGGCCCCATCCAGTCTCAGGGGGAACCTCGAATCCAGTTCTGTGTGTGTAAGCCCAGACCAAGTGCTTGCTTGGTCTTAGTGATTGGGCTCAGGGAATATGGCTCAGTCAGAACCAATCAGACCTTCCGTGGGGTCTACGGGAAAGAAGCATACTGTTCTTGCTAGACTTAGATGAGAAAAGACACAAGATCTAGGGTAATGACAGCTGTCTTTTGACCGCTAGGGTGAGGTGTTTGAGAATGGTATCAAAACAGAGGAACAGGAGAGCGATGGAAATGGCAAAACTAGGCCCCAATGACTCAATCTGAACCTCTTTGTCTAGACAGATGTCTTTATCTAGACACTCCTGAAGACAGATGGACTCAAGACTGTTCAGTTACATCACCGCAAAATCCCCACTTTGAGTAAACCTGTCTGAGATGGGTTTCCCTCCTGTGTAACAGAAAGGGGTCTGACTGTTCTATGGACTTGAAAAGGCACAAAGGAAAGGGCCAGGTATTCTGAGACTCTCCACTAAGCCACACGCCTCACAAGAAAGTTCAGCATCAACACTGCTCAGTTGCCTCTCAGTCCAATACCCTCGCAGCACCCCAACACAACCTCACCAAAAGCCATTTCACCAAGGCTGAATGCACTGTGGCAAACCTATGTCCAGGCAGCTCTGGAAACGGAAGGCAGGTTAAATATAAAAGAGCTGTAATCTGGAAAGGAAATGCAGAGGAAATGAAAGAAAGTAGAGGCTGGAGGAAGTTTAATAAAGACAGATAAATTTAAGGGGAGAAAGCAAGTTAGCACGTCGTGCTAGAGGAGGCAGAGCCTAAGGAACTGAGGCTTAATGAAAACACTATAGGTCCTCTCTCTCATTTTAATTTGGATACTGTAAATTTTCAGTTTTTTAAGGCTCTGGATATATGGCCTTATTCTAACTATCATTACTGACAAATGCAGTCCAAGTATTTAACCTAGAGGAAAAATGACATGTTTATCCTGGGGGGGGGAAATTAAAACCAAAAATCTTGTAACTTTACTTTGGGATAAAACAAGAATTTGTTCTAAATTCAGCTTAGAAAAACTTCAACTTTTAGCTGGGAATTGCAGAATAATATGGCAGTTTTCAAAGCTGTGTTCTCATGCAATTACATATTTTGTCTGAGAAAGCTGCCATCTTAGATGACTAAACTCATCAAACCATCATAACGTCTAGAATGTCCTGGAGGTTAGAGTAAAGATGTGGACAGCAAACCTCCCTCTCCTCTTGGGTGTCCATTTGCATGGGGACTCTGCATGCTTGTTGGATGGAGAAGAAGAAATTTGTGCCATCTGGATTGCTGCATGGTACCTGAGGGAAAAGGAGAAAGAGTGGACGGCAAGTGGGGGATGAACAATATTTCTGTTTCCCCACACGAGTGACTTTGGGCACATGCAGGCTGCTTTAGTGCAAAGCTCAGAAGGGACTGCGTGGCGAGAGAGAGCCGTCACCTACAGTTCCCATCAGACCTACCTGAATGGCAGGCACTAGCATTCCTAAGCAGGTAAGAAACAGTAGTGGCATTAAAGAGAGAATGCCCTAAGAAGCTGGCACACAACAGCATTCCACCTGGAGGCCAGAATGCAAGGACAAAGACAGCCTTTATTCTAAGCACACAGAAGCCTCCCCCTGAATTTCCCATACACCCTTGGGAAGACTTTAAACTTGGAAAGACACACGGGGTCACAGGCTCTGAAATTAAAGTTTAGATGTGAAGCGCAAGACTTTCCAGTTACACCGTGAAAATCTCCCATAAGCCCTCAAATATACGTATAATTCTAAAGAAGGATACATGAACAATTTACTTCCACACTTAGAGCAACCAACTGAGACATGGCCATATGGATTATCCACAAAGAATCTTGAAGCCCAGGATGAAAGATGAATTCTGTCTGCCACTGACAAGATGTACAGCTTGCCCAACACACTATTAATCATCATATGTCCCAGATATGCAAACTAACTTAATATCAACTTCACCTAATTTAATATCAACACAATTAAGAAAGTTATTCAAAGCATTCTGAAGTACAATAGAAAAGATGTGTATCTATCTGTAAAACAGTTTGCCTTCATTACTGTAAATGAGAATAAATGAGAACTAACCACATTTCTAGTCCGCTCCTTGGGACAAATTTAATAATGTATTTGAGATGTGCATCACCATCTTTCTTGAAGGGAACATTATTACATTTATACAGGGTTCCTGTCTATTTATATTACCTACATGTTATCTTCGTTTTTGGAAGCAGCAACGATTAAAATGGTTTCATTTATTTTTCATTATTTCAGAATGTCAGATTTTCTTTTTCTTTCACGCAAAACTACATGCTTTAACAACTACAAAGGGATTAACACATTTCTTCTAAACCAGAATCCTCACTTTATCTTCATCGCTGTGTCTCCCAGCAATGCAACAGCTCTCAAGCCTGGAAACAAAGCTCCACTCACCGAGCCTGAGACAGACAGTCACAGTTTGATGGTAGAGGCTGTAAAGGGCCTTCTTTCTGATTTCCGGATTTTAAATAACAGGATCTAATTTCCCCTGTAAAATCAGAAAATTTCAGCAAAGGATATGACATAATTATTCATATAGAATTGTTTCAACTTATACAATTTTCAAGTTAAAAGGAAACTTATTTTGGTCTGTTGTAATAACTGTTGACAATCTGGATCCATTCTTTGTATTTCTCCACAGAATGTATATCATGAGAAGTTGAAGGATGTCTGAAAGAAACGTGACTAAGAAAATTTTCTTTGACCTGCTTCCCTGCTAATATACTTAGACAAGTTTTGACTTGGTTACTTATGATTTAATTGCTTTTGATAGACTTATTTCTGTCATCTCTTAATTCACTTTACATACATTCTCTTCATGTGTCAGCATGATCTGTGCTAGCATATAACTGGATTTTTTTGTATATGAATACCTCGGTGTCATGTGCAAAAAGCAGCTTATTAAGAGTACAGTTTTGACTGGTGGACCACATGAGACCATCTCTGCCTCCAAATGTGCAGACGAGCCAGTGCCACAGCACACTGACTGATGTGTCAGCCTGTTAATGAGGAAAAGCAAGAGGTGGAATTAATCTGCAGAGTTCAATTAGCTCCACTAAAGCAGTTCAGGATACTGAGGTATGAAAATCCGTTCCCTTTCTAATGATGTAAACGGTTTCTGCCCAGAAGAGCTCCTACTAGTGCCTTCTTCAGTTGACACAGGAAGCGTAATTAACCTTGTCTGTTGTGAGCAGCTGGAAGGTGGCCCTCAACTCAAAAGGTGTTTTCCACCAAGAGAAACTGTAACAACCGCAGCCCCTGTGGAGGCTTTCATGTAAGTGCTAATGTTGTTCTTTATGATGTAAAAGTCCCTTATATTTCTGCACATGCCAAAGCATTTAAAACTATAAACTACCGAACTCCAGATAAAGTAACCATATAATGTATTCTCCAAACCAGCATCCTTTTGAGAGTAAAATAACAAGCACTACTGGAGCTATATGATACATAAGCCAAGACCCATCCCAGAAAAACTAGGACCCATATCCCTTATCCTTTGAACTTTGAACTTGCCACTTTATAATTCTCTATGTATACTATTTTAAATCCTTTTTATAACAAGGCGATGGAAAAATATATCAAGGTCAGGTGTGCAACACAGGTCCAACAAATATTTACTGACTACTGGGCATTGCCCTCTTGAAGTTGATAACTGTGAGGGGGAAATGCCATTAATCAAATTATTATACAAGCTGTAATATTATCAAAGAAGGAAAGAGACGGGGTGTTAAGAGAACAACAAAAACTGACGAACCTGATTAAGTCTGGGGAGTTCAGGAAAGGTGTCCCTGAAAAACTTACCTTAGGACCAAGATCTGAAGGATCAATGGCACACACGGGCACAGCATGTGTAAAGACCCTGAGATGGGAGGCAGCACACTCCGTTCAAAGAACAGTGTGTGGGCAACTACGGCGTTAAGTCTTCCAGTTCTCAAGTCTAGTGCTCAGGCTAAGATATCACGATGAGTCTGAGAAAGCTGACAGTTTTCCCTGCTTGTTCATTAGTAAAGAGCTCCAAAGACTCACCATGTTCATCAATGAAGACATGCATAGCATCCACAGATATCTCTTCTTGTACAGACGTTTCAGGCCCACTGATGACTTGCAAGACAGAACTATCTTGTTGGGAAGTTACCCTGTAGATTATCTGTCTTTGTCTATTGCCCTGGAAACTTAACACATATAAAAGTTTCAAAAAAAAAAAATGATTAGAAGTTCTTCCTTATCCTTGATAAAGCATTAAAAGCAGAAGCCAGTAAATGAGGCTGTCTCATGGTTTATGACTAAGTGAAACTAAATAAGTAACTTATCCTTACAAGGCCGTAGTCTTGGCAGGCTGAGTGCACACGGGGCTGGTGCTAGTATGGTCTTGACTTTGTAAGTCTGGTTTTCCTTGCTTAGGACTGTGTCCACTGGGCTTTTCATTTTCGAGGATTTCCTCCTTTTTTTCCTGGGAAGTGTTATCTGAAAAACATTGCTTTACCTGTTAATATAATATAAAATAATTCAATGTGAAAGCTCTGGGAAATAAGTTACCAAAACTGAAACAAGAATAGAAAGAAAATCCAAGCAGCTCCTCTGCATGCAAAAGACTTTTAAATAATTTTTCATTTTCCTAATTATGGAAGTACCTACATATATTTGAAAAACAGAAGCATGTATAAGTCTGAGATGTGTTATTTAGGCGTCTACAAACACCTACTATTTTATATACAGGTTGAGGGACTCCCTTGAAATAAATCGGTGACCACACATGTGCCCAGCTGGAAATCACCCATTTAGGTTACACAGGTCTGAAAGGTTCATGTCTCATAAATGAATAACCTCAGATTCTAAAAAATTACAAAAACAAATCTGGCTATTTCAGAGCAAGGTCCCCTTTACCATTTATAAATCTTAACAGTCTTTCTTCTCACTCATCTCTAAAACTGAATTTTCAAGCTAAAGCTAGAATTGGACCCTTCATAAAGCAAATACTTGTAAGTATAGCTGGGGGTGGGGGTTGTTTTTGTTTGTTTGTTTGTTTGTTTGTTTGAGACAGGGTTGGCCCTGTTGCCAAGGCTGGAGGCGGGAGTGCAACGGTGGAATCACAGCACACTGCAGCTTCAACCTCTTGGGTGCAAGTGACTCTCCTACCTCTGCCTCCCAAGTAGCTGGGATGACAGGCACATGCTACTACATCCAGCTAATTTTTAAAACTTTATGTAAGTATAGGGGCACGCTATGTTGTTCAGGCTGGACTTGAACTCCTGGCCTCAAGTGATCCTCCCACCTCAGCCTCCTGAAGCACTGGGATTACAGGCATGAGCCACCACACTCGGCCAAGTATAGCTGGTATAGCTGATTTTGAACAACATGCTTATGGTACTGTGTAGGACACAGTGAGCTACAACACCTATTCCTTGCCCTGAGAACATTTTAAGGTGAATGAGAATTCCAAGATCAATAGGTACAGAATGTTTTTATTTTTTTGCATTTTTTGAAGACTCTTTAAACAATGAACCACTAAGGGTCTCAGGTTATACCATTATGCAAAATGGACTGCATATGACCCTGAGGATCAGCCCTTCCTTCTCTGCGGACACATTCCAACTGTCACTTTTAAGATCAAAAGGACCATTGTACTCCCATGACTTACTCTGAGTAAATGATTGGCTCTTAAGCTCAACAGTCTGTGCCTGAGAGAACAGAATTGAGCCTGAACCTACAAGTTCTTTCAAGACACACCATTAGAAAAGTCTATCAAGACCTGCCTAAGCCCTCAGAAAGCAAAACTGTGTTAGTGTCTGTGGGATATAAATCACATCCTTGCGTCTAGAACAATGTTATTCATCCTGAAACTTCAAGTAATTAGAGGAGCAATGCTGGCTTCTCTGTGAGTCCTGAAGATAAACATTTTCAGCACATCTGTGAAACTACCATAAGAATTTCCTTGGTATGAAAATGTTTGCATTTCATTTGACAGCCTGTCAAGATAGAAGTTTTCACAGTTTTCAAGAAACACATTTACAAGAAAGTGCTATCATAACAAATAGCTTTAGCCAGTAATCATGCCTCATAAAAAATCGCAGAAAGGCACATTGACACAGCTCTCCTGTTTCACACTAAGAGTCTTTGAATTCGTTTGTTCACATCTCTTCATCATATCTTAGACTCCTTTTCTCTTAAATGGGTACATTACGTAAATCAACATATGGGTGATTTTTTCCCTTTTTTCCTTAAAAAATACATTTATATAAATGTTTCTCTTTATAAAAATACTACGCATTCATTGTATGTAATTTAAAACTACACAAAAGAAAAAACTTTGAATCACTCCTAATCCTGCCATCATATTACCACTGGAGCCAATTTGATATATATCATACCAATCTCTTTTTCCTAGATATATGCACTTTTTTTTTTTTTTTACAAAATACAGGTATGGTTTTATACTTATCATATTTATCTTAAACTACTATAAATATTTAACGTTATTGGATATTCATCTACATCATCTAAAAGTAGTAGTTATATATTATACTGATAATGGTATAAATAGACCCTAACTACAAATTTACATTGTTTCCATTTTCCATATTATAGACAATTTTTCAATGATCATTTCTATATACATTCATGATTCTTTTCTTAGAAATTCTTAGAAGTTAGGAGACTGAATATACGAATGGACAATGGCCAGAAATTATTCATAACATAGAACTCTGACCAATAATCTGCAGCACCCAGCTGAGAAAATCAACCCATTATCCAGGGTAAGCAGCCCAGGAAGACAACATCCTATGCACAGGTCAGGCTCGCAGGAAGTCAGACCACTGTTTCTGGCAAACAATCCAGGAAGCCAAACAATAACCCCCATAATAATTAGCCCGAAATGGCTAGGACTTGATTCACAGCTGACAGCTTCCCTAATGTGTGTCCCTGCTTCCAACTTAGGACCACCCAAAGAAAACCAAATATAGTCCCCTAATGAAGCACATAGGATGCCTCACTCCTAGTCTAGCCACCTCCAGCTTCATAATGCCCAGAACCTCCAGTCAGGGCACATCTGAAGCCTTCCCTTTTTTCCACTATAAAGCTTTGTCATTCTAGTTGCCTTTAAGTCTCAGGTGAACCCAAGTGATGACGGCTGACTCCCTCACCATAAGTAAGCTCTGAATAAATAGACTTTGCTTGTTCTCATATGGGCAGTCCTCATTTATTTCCACAAAGTAAAATAAAGTTGTGTCAAACAAAAAAGCAAACAAACATGCTTTAAAGGTTTTTCAAAAGTGTGTGGTTTTCCATAGCCTTGAATTCTAGGATATTGCTGAGACCTGAGAATAATCCTCTGAAGAGAACCTGGGCTAGAAATAAGAGTACATTAGAGAGAACTAGAAAATCCTGTATCTTTTTCTAGTGAGGTCCAAGTTCAAGCACTGTCCTACTGATGAGCAGGAAAACGATTAGAGAACATTTCCTAAGCTGCTAATATCATTAAACACCGTCACGTTGTTTTATAAACAAACTCAAAAACTGGGTTTTCAGATTACAATAACAAATACTTCAGTGAAAGAAGAATAAGAGGATATTACCAATCTCAAAGACACATGACACCACTGAAAAACTATCTAAATTGCCACCTTTGATGTTGATGGCCTTCTAAGAGCTAAAAGATTCATTGTAGTCTCTCCTTTCTTCCTTCAATTAAAATCCTCTGTCCTTTCCTAAAAGAAGTATATAATTCATTCCAACCCCTCCCTTCCTGCTGTACCTTCAAGTTCTTGGTACCTAAGCCTATCTCTTCCCATAGAATACCTCATATCTCCCTGCACACAACCTCGATGTCCAATTTAACCCTTCTGACTGAATGTGGCTGGCTGAAAAAATGAAGAGCAAAAACTCAAGCAGGCAAACCAAGTAAACTTTACATATGGCCTGAGGGAAAACAAAAATAAAAGACTAAAATTGATCAAATAGCAAAACTTTTCACATATTTTCCTAATTGAATCCTCACAATAAATCTGTAACATATTATGATTCCTGCTTTGTAGAAGAAACTCCAACACAGATGCATCTGATCAATTGTCCAAGCTCAACCAGCCGATATTACTGAACCAAATCTGGCCTTGTGCTGTCTGGTTCCAAAGTCAGTGCTCTATCCACTGGACACATTGCTTCTGGGAAGGCCTTCATGTGCTCTGGGTTAGCACTGTCTAATACAGCAGCCAATAGCCACACGGCTACTTAAATGAATTAAAATGTAATAAAATTTAAAATGTCACTTCTCATCTGCACAGCTCCCTTTTAAAGTATTAAACAGCTGCATGTGGCCATTGGCTACCATATTGGACTGCAGATATGGAATATTTCTATCACTGCAGAAAATTTTATTGGACAGTGCTAGCCTAGAGGTATGAATCTCTATATTGGATAGATGATAAACACCCACATCTTTTATTAGAAACATTTTTGTCTCAAGTTACTCCTGCTTTATATACCGCCCTGTCTGTTAAAAAGTTTAAGTAATCAGAGAAAATTTCTTAGAGCCAACAGTATGGAGCCAGAGGAGCCTCTGGCTGTCCAAAGAGCAGAGGAAAAATCCCAGCACTAAGAAACGTTACCACCTACAGCACAGAAAATGAGCTACCATATGCAAACACAACTTTCAGTAAGCATTCCTACCATACAGATGCTATCTCAACACAGATCTAGGTAGAAATGATATGCTCAGAAATCACAGCATTAACAGAATTTAAAGCTGAAAGACCTTATAAAAGCCCTAGTCCAGTAACATCATTTTAGCCATGAGGAAAGTGAGGCCCAGAGACACTAAGTAACCTGAAAATAAACGTACCTTATCTTCATATAGGAAATATCATTTAATTTTTATGCAAGGACTCTGGAACAAGACTGCCTGGAATCGCTGGGCGCGGTGGCTCATGCCTATAATCCCAGCACTTTGGGAGGCCGAGGCGGGCGGATCACGAGGTCAGGAGATCGAGACCATCCTGGCTAATACGGTGAAACCCCGTCTCTACTAAAAATACAAAAAATTAGCCGGGCGTGGTGGTGCGTGCCTGTAGTCCCAGCTACTCGGAGGCTGAGGCAGGAGAATGGCGTGAACCCAGGAGGTGGAGCTTGCAGTGAGCCGAGATGGTGCCACTGCACTCCAGCCTGGGCGACAAAGTGAGACTCCATCTCAAAAACAAAAAAACAAAAAAAAGACTGCCTGGAATCAAATCTCAGTTCTAGCACCTCCTGAACTTACTAGACACTTGGGAAGGCAAGTGAAAATTTCTGAGCCTCATTCGAAGAACAGGAAGGATAATGGTATATCCATAACATAAAGTTATATAAAGAGTGAGTTAATATGACAGTAATTATATAATTTATCATCTAAACTGGGGACTCTTTTGAGAGAGAAAGTCAGTGCTCTTAATAATTATGTTGGCAAAACCGTGTGTAAATGAGGACCCTTCCAGGCAAACCACAAGGTACAGTCACCCTCGTTAACATATGCAAAGTGCTTAGAACACTGCCTGGCATAAATTAAGAGCTGCAGAAGAGTTTGTTATTATTATGAGTACAACATGGGATAATTAGTGAATTCTGTATTTTATAATAAAACTCAGCAGGAAAAGTAGATTCACTTCATAGAAATTTGTCTTACAATCAACTTTCCCAGAAGGCATCTATTTCATAAAGGAAGAAACATCTATTGCGAGTACTTGCCACAGTAGTAAAATATAATTGCTTATTTCCCTGGGAGTAAATAGTCTTGCCTTGTAGAATAGGGAAGCAAAAAAATCATGATAATGCCTTAAGTGTCCTGGTAGAGTAGGACAATATATGTACACATGTTCATCACAGAGCTTAGTCTCAGTAATTCAGCAAATACTGATGACAAAGCCAAGCAACAAACGATTGCCCAAGAGTTGTCCCACTATTTGCAAAATCAAATCACAGAAGGCAAATGGCAAAGAGGCATATTGCCTTCTATGTCATCATCAGAACGGAACTGATGTGGAATCGCACCTTGGAGAAGCCCACTTTCTTCATTCTGCTCTGCTGAGCCATTCAATTGATTGGATGCGGCCATCTTGGAAGTATTAATGGATTCTAACAGGGAGACAAATTCCAGGAAGTTGGACTCATTTGGTATTTGTCCTTCCTTAGCCTCTAGATCAGATTTGGAAGTTGGCATTGTTTTCTCTGTATCATTAACAATTTCTGCGGAACTTTTACTCAAGAAGACATCTGTTCCACTGTCCACACTGAGCACCCGGGCATGCCTCTTTTCATGGCTGGACTTACAAGACAATGGGTCAAGGTTAGTCAGGCCTTCCTTCCCCACCTTAGACTCAGAGGCTGTATCAGGTGTAAGCCGGGACGCTGATTCCCAGGGTTCCCGTGAGGAAGAACTGTGATCCTTGGTGGCACTTCCCCCCTCCCCAGATCCATAGCCAGAACACTGATTGGTGGATACCCTTGCCTTCAGTCTCTCTGGAGTCCTTTCACTTCCATTGCCTTCAGAACAGGGAACACCTCCTCCCCCACCCTCAGGCAGGTCCAGGGTGATCACGGGAATTGAGATCTGCTCGGCATTGGGAGAACTGGCCGCCCCTGGGTTAGTTGGCTCAGCGTCAGACTTTACACCGGTCTTCTCTATGCCAACCACCTTCAGGTGGAGGGAGCTTTCCAAATCTGTCATGGAGTTTGGGGTACTGCTCATCGTGATAACAATTTTTATGGGTTCATGTAGACTCAGTGGGTCTCCGGGTTGAGAAGTATCGATGAGAGTAATAGCCACCTCACTATCTGAGGAGTCCACTTCCTGGTTCAAGGGCAGGTCCACCTGGCAGGAGGTATCCACCTGACAGGATGTGTCTGCTGGCTCCTCCACAGGCTTGGCCACGATGGTGTCACACTGAGGGCAGCTGCTGCTCAGGCTGTCTTGGGGTGACTTGCTTTGTACCCGTTCCCTTACGGAACCCTGGGGACAACTGACAGGTTCTGGAATCAGGACTGAATTCTCACTCCCCCATGGCTGGAAAGAAATGTCTGTTTCTAGTAAGTCATACTGAGACAAAGACAGGTGGGGCAACTTCTTCAAGGGTCCCTTATCCACTAAGCCACCCTCGGATCTGTGGCGCAAAGGAGGCTGCCCCTTGCCTCCTCTTTCCTTTCCTTTACCATTGATGAGAGTTTCTGTGGCAATTGGTTTTACGGGTATTGCTGACTTGGGCATGGTTTCCAGCATGTGTGCTTGACAAGCAGGTAAACTTTCCATTTTGATACCAGGTGAGGTAGATGACACTGGTGCTATGGGATGGTCTTCTGATAGAATGACACCTGAAATGAACGACACATGGCAACTTTATTAGCATTGGAAATGAATGAGTGATGCCCAAGAGCCAGACCTAATGAATGATAACAAAACTAAAACAGCACCAGCAACTAATGGAATTGGATACTTTTTTTTTTTACTTTAAGTTCTGGGACACATGTGCAGAACAGGTATAGATGTGCCATGGTTGTTTGCTGCACCTATCAACCCATCATCTAGGTTTTCAGCCCTGCATGCATTAGGTATTTCTCCTAATGCTCTCCCTCCCCTGGCCCCCAACCTCCGACAGGCCCTGGTGTGTGATGTTCCCCTCCCTGTGTCCATGCGTACTCATTGTTCAACTCCCATTTATGAGTGAGAATATGCAGTGTTTGGTTTTCTGTTCCTGTGTTAGTGTGCTGAGGATGACGGTTTCCAACTTCATCCATGCCCTGCAAAGAACATGAACTCATTCTTTTTTATGGCTGCATGGATACTTATTTTTAAAAATAACATTCCCACTGTGAAATTATTCTTGAAATATAACAATAAAAATAAAACAAATGAAAAGCAATACAGTATAACAACTATATATATAGTGTTTACATTGTATTAGGTATTGTAAGTAATTTAGAGATGATTTAAAGTATACAAGAGGATGTGTGTAGGTTACATGCAAATACTATGCTATTTTATATAAGAGACGTGAGCAACATCCACAGATTTTGGTATCCACGGGGGTCCTGGAACCAAATCCCTTAAAATACTGTAGAACACCACCAACTAAGATGGTGTCTTTTATAAGATTTGACTAAGGAAAAAACAAAATTCTTTGCTTTACTATAGTGTTGCTAAGAAACACTGGATTTACTCGCCAGGTATGGGTTTAAATGCTACCTGTACATTTTACACACTATGACTCAGAATGAAATAATGTACGTAAAACTTCTACTGCAATTCCTAGTACAAGTAAAAAATGGGAAATTATTGTTTTAATAGGAATGGTGAAATTAAAAGGCCAGACCAGATATTCAAAGTACATAAGATGATGAGCTATAGCACACCTAATCTAGAAGAATATGTTTAATATGAAGGAAAAGGTATGTGCTTGTATATATGTGTATAAAACAGACATAAAGTAACCGTTATGAAGCTGTATGTGCAACCAAAATATTAGAACTCTAACTAATGTGAATTTATTTTAGTAGTAATAACACAGAAAAAAATCTGGACAATCCTTTACATATTGTTATAATGGGATACAGCTGAATGATGAAAAAAGAAACTTCATTTTAGGGGTTCAGGGCTATGGTGCTAATTTCAGCTGTTTTCTAGAACAAATTAAATTTTACACCATTTTCAAAACTGAAATAGTGCATAAAATTTGTCTTTGTAGTAGTAGAAAAGAAAATAGAATTGCAGAGAAACAAAGGAATTAATTCAGGCCTCCAAAAGATCTTTTCTAAGCCTTCTGAAGGTAGTCAAAAGATTAAAAAAAAAAAAAAAATCTTAGTAAAAACGTAAAACAAAAATTGTTTAAGTTAAAGGAAAGATCCCCCAAAACAAAATTTGTAACTTGAAAGAAAGGTAGATATGCAGAATGCTATACAATTTATCCTGTCATTTTTTGATGTATGTACTATAATACAAATTTTTATATGGATGATAATTTATCATCCATAAAAAAACTTACATGTCTGCTCTTTATAAGTCATATAAAATGAGGCATAGACTGGAGAAATGACAACGAATTATGATCAACAAAATATCACAATTTGAATTAAGACTTGATATACAAATACTGATGAGAAAAAATTAAAATTAAGAGTTAAAGAAACAAAGTCAAAATATAACTATGCAGTCTTAGGTATAGTTCTTATTTTCAGTTAATCCACTGACATTCTGTTTTATAAAAATATTTTTCACTTCACTGAGGATAATGCAGGGATAAAATATGAATGATGACACTTTACCTTTGAGATCTTCTACGGTTTCCTGTGCTGACAACTCCTAACAAATGAAAGAAACAAAAATCAATGGATGACTCAGCTGATCGTCCATTTCCAGACAGTCAGCAATAACTGACCAGTAGTCACTGGTTTTCTAAATGGCATGTAGGGAAGAGACAATACAGTGTTCACTCTCCTTAAGCTTCTATAAAATGGGGACCAGAACGGATACAAATGTATGTAAGTGTGGACATTCAACCAAGACAACTGTACTGTGACAAAGGGAGATTTGCTACTAAGAAAGTAAACAGAGAAGGAATAAGCCACTACTGACACTATAGCGAATGGAGCTCAATAAAGTAAATCTAGAAAAAAGGTAATTTATTGACTTCCCAGAAAGACAAGTGTGATTTAAAATGGAAAGCAGAGGCGATATCCATTTCAGGTGGAAGGCACTGCAGATATGATGACTTCAATGAATGACAACAGAAAGAAGCAAAGGCCTGCAAATTGGTTCTCTGCCCAGTGTGGCTGACCCAGCAGTGGGGGTGGATGGCAGAGGAGGCCAGAGAGTATGCTTTGAACACATGACTGGGCATTTATCATATGGTCCCAAGGGCACCATTCAGGCCATTTCCAGACCCTGGGATGTGATATTCACTGTACACGGGCCAGTGATTACAGCATGCAAGCTACAATCACTGCTTCTGAACACTCCCATTCTAGGTGAGATCAACACCGAAACCACATGAAGAGGGTGAAACAGGAAACAAGACCACTAACCAATGGCCCAGAAGAGTGATGAGAGGTTATACTTTGCCCTCTGGAGCTGCAGCGGAGGGGAGGCGTGGAGAGGTTTCGACTGGCCTCTTCCTTTTTGCCATTGTGAATCTGCCTATTATTGCTAACCCAACATGAGAAACACAAGAGCAGTGAGTGATATTATCAAACAGAAGCATGACTCTTTTAGTACTAGTCTAAAAACTTATTTTTCCTACAGTCCATTTTGTTATATTCCTTATATATAAATCTTCGTTTGTTGTTTTTAAGAGACAGGGTTTCGCTCTCTCTGGGTAAGCTAGAACTCAGTGGCACGATCATGGCTCACTGCAGCCTCAACCTCCTGGACTCAAGTGATCCTCCCACATCAGCCTCCCAAAATGCAAGTTTACAGGCATGAGCCACCATGTGCAGCAGATAAACCTTATAATAAACATTACTTTTAAATTAGAGGACATGCTATCTTAAGGAGCTGTAAGAAATAATACAAGAATAGTGAAAAGAATGCTAACTCAAAAATTACTCTTAATATTTCAGTTCTATGTAATGTATCACTTTTATATCAACAAACACAAATGCTATTCTTTAAAATACTCTGGCATGTTCTAAGCATTTAAATAACAACATAAAAACAGTGAAGTGAAATTTTTTGCAGTGCTAAGCCTAAGACAAATGAATTCTAGATCATGTGAGAAGGTCATATTGATAGCCAGTTAAACCATCCCGATTATGAATATCAATGTTATGCTTAAGTATATGCTGAAATATAAAAAAAAATGCACATATTTCTATCTGCCTGTACTAGTGATTTCAAAAACAACTGATAAAAAACTTAAGAGCAAAACATTTAAATTTTGAAGTGTCACATTAATTGGAAATATTACCTTGGATTTTTGGGATTAGTTATGTGTTCACCTTTGGCCTCCTTGTCTTTATTTGGCTTTTCTTCCTTTCTGGAGGGCTTTTGCTGAATTACTTCTCCTTTGTCAAACATGAGGTGTAGGCGGTAACTGACTAGTTTGATTATTGTGAAGAATATAGTCACTGCACTGCAGTAGAAAAATACAATGATCACATTTGGAGGAAAAGCCTGAAGAAGGGAAAAGAGAGAGAAAAATCATTTGCTTTTAAGATTTTCTTTCTGTTTTAAATCTGGAAGCATTTTTAGACTATATACTGAATATAAATTAGGCAAGACTTCAGATTTGACTAATTTTGTAAGTTTTCCTGGTTAAAATACTTGAGGAGAAAGACCGGCTTTTTATTTTTTGAAGTCTTTTTTGTTTCTCAGGTTCTGTAGTAGTTGCACTGATAATCAACATTTGATTTGCAGGCAGGAACCCCACAGAACAAAAGACATATTCAAGGAAACCTCTCCTTTTTTTTTTTTTTTTGAGACGGAGTCTCACTCTATCACCCACGTTTGAGAGCAATGGCGTGATCTCGGCTCACTGCAACCTCCGCCTCCCAGGCTCAGACAATTATTCTGCCTCAGCCTCCTGAGTAGCTGGGATTACAGGCATTCGTCACCAAGCCTGGCTAATTTTTGTGTTTTTAATAGAGACGGGATTTCATCATGTTGGCCAGGCTGGTCTCAAACTCCTGACCTCAGGTGATCCGCACACCTCGACCTCCCAAAGTGCTGAGATTACAGGTGTGAGCCACCGTACCCAGCCTCCATGTTTGATAAGCTCTTATCTAAGACCTAATCCAATGCATCTTCCTATGCAGCTCATCTTAAAGGCCAGAGATGCATTTGTTTTCATCAACAAAACACAAAAAGCCTTGTGGAGAACAGAAGGAAAAAGAAGGGAGAAAGGTTAGGGTAACCACTCCGCCATTCCCCTCCTTAACCTCCCATTGTGATAACACCCGCAGGCCATGGATTTCCCTAGGGTTGTAATGCACACAGGGGACCACAAAAGGGTACTGCTTCCAAAAGGAAGAGGAATATTTCCAGCAGAGACAAACGATCTGAACATGGCGACTATAGTGAGGTTCAGCTCAATTCTATGCAATCCCCTCAAGAACCAAAACAAAAAGAATCACTGGGACCCATGGAGTTGTCCTACTCTGTAGCATCTCCCATATACCTTCCTAATTCTCTCCAGGACCATGGACTATCACACGTTCTCTAGGCCTTCCTAAACTACATTCCAATTCTTTGGGATGGAAAGAGATCCCCAAGTGTCCCAAGGTGATATCCAGGACAGCCTTAATGACTCACGAGACCATTTTATCAATGGACTGTCCTAAAGAATATCGGAAATCCAGTGATCTGTGTAGCCAGTGCTGCAACCTAAACATAGCTAGGCTTGCAGACAGTAGGGCCCAGTCTCCATCTGCGCCTAAGCAGACCCTGTACAGTTTGCCGTGGTCCCATGCAAGAGTCTATCTTCTAGGTTGGACTGTCCCTAAAATGCAATAGCCAAACAAAGAGCACAAAAAAGAAAGAGGAAGATGATCAACAAGTAAAAGATAAAGTCAGAGATTTTCACCATCACTTACTCACTCTTATTACATCATGGGGGGAAAAGTCCACAGATAAATATAAAGCAATAAATAAGTGACAGAATAACTATATAAGACACTATGAGATAGATAATACCTGCTGTCCACTACCTGGCAGCAGATAAGGTTTATATTTACAAAAGGTGTATCTGTAAATATAAACCTTATATTTACATACTAAATACTACTAATAAATTAAAATACTACTAATTTAAATACTGCTCAAATACTACAATACTACTAATAGTATTTAGTAGTATTTAGTAATCTTGTTTATATTTACATACTAAACACTACTAATAAATTAAAATACTACTAATTTAAATACTGCTCAAATACTACAATACTACTAATAGTATTTAGTAGTATTTAGTAATCTTGTTTATATTTACATACTAAATACTACTAATAAATTAAAATACTACTAATTTAAATACTACTCAAATACTACAATACTACTAATAGTATTTAGTAGTATTTAGTAATCTTGTTTATATTTACATACTAAATACTACTAATACTACTAATTGCACACTAAATACTACTAACAGCCCCTATCGCTTTTTCTTAACTATTATGGGTTTTAAAAATTTAAGCTAAATTTAGAGACTTAGTTTGAACAAAAGTGATAAAAGAAGGAAAAAGAGAGCCTGCAGATGTCCATGAGAACAGACTATTGTTATATAAAAATGATATTCAGCCAGGCATAGTGGCTCATGCCTGTAATCTCAGCATTTTGGGAGGCCAAGGCAGAAGGATTGCTTGAGCCCAAGAGTTCAAGAGCAGCCTGGGCAACATAGTGAGACCTGCCCTTCCCCATCTCTACAAAATTTTAAAAATTAGCCAGGTGTGGTGGTGTGCACCTATAGTCCTTGCTACTGGGGAGGCTGAGGTGGGAGGATCTCTTGAACCTAGGAGTTCAAGGTTACAGTGAGCTATAATCACACCACTGTACTCCTGCCTGTGCTACAAAGTAAGACCCTCTCTAAAAAAAAAATGAATTATATTCAAGAGTTTGTTGAATTTTCATGTAACTAGGGCTTCATAGTACTCTAGTCAGCAAGGGTAGCAAAGAGAGTTAGCGCTCACTAAATACTCCATCCTCTCCTCTTCATTTCCTAGCTTCTCTCACAGCTAGGCTGAGGCCATATGACTAATTTTGGCCAATGGACAATGAGCACAAGTGCTGGCTTAGACAATTATGAGCTAGGTGCCTCCTGCATCCCACTCTTTTCCTCTTTACTTGGTGACCTCAGGAGACACGTTTTCCAGATGATATGTCTATAAGATGATGCAGTTTCTTTCAGACTGGGCACCTGAGTAACTCTGCAGAGCAAGGCCCCTATAAACCCAAGATAAGCCTATAACAGGAATAAGAAGTAAACTTTTGAGCCATTAAACCACTGAGATTTGGAGTTGTGGCTGCTGTGGAAGCTAGCATTACTTAATTAACAACAGGGGGGTCCATTTTCATGAGGAATCTTCCATTCAAATTAGGTTAGAGATAAACTGAGAAAACCCTAAGTTATTGAGAAAAGAATGGAAGAGAAGAAGAGTGAGAGACAAAAAGTTGTATAGGACTCTTGGGAAAATTCACTTAGAAAAAAAACTGGCATGCCCCAATATTCAGAGAGATATTATTTTTCAGTTTATCCTCATAAATTTAGGCTACAGTGTAAGCTTGGTTAATACTGAAATTAAGTGAGGGCAAGAAGTTAGAATTTGAAGTTACCATGAGCACTAGCACCTAGTTGGCAACCCAGGTGAGAACCGGCCCTTGCCTCATCCTCTATAAAGGACCACTTGGCACTCTGTCATATCTGCAGCCCATGGACCTGACCAGACCATAGTGAAAACAGAGATTTTACTGAAAATTTTCTGGAACAAATGTTTTACAGCGTGCTATGCATGGTACGTTGTTTCTCCCCAAACTCCCTGATCTAATAATTCCTTTGAAAACCTCTCCCTAGCCAGGTGCAGCGGCATGTGCCTGTAATCCCAACTTCTCAAAAGGCTGAGGCAGGAGGATCTCTTGAGCCCAGGAGTTCAAGACCAGCCTAGACAACATAGAGAGACCCTGTCTTATTAATAATTTTAATTAATTAATTAATACCTCTCCCTTCAGTAGACCCTCCAAATTGAATCTAGCATCTTTCCAAACACTCCTTTTTTACGCCATGCAATTATGCTCTTCCCAGGCTCCTCCAATACCACATGCCCAGGGACATCCCTGAAAATCACCTGCACGGCCATTTGACTGCAGACATCATTATACTCAGGCAACAGAAGACCTCCAGCTTCTAGTATTTGCTCTCCTTAGAGGTGTGAATGCAGGCAGAGAAAGAGGGTTTAGGAAGGGATTTACCATATATGAGCAGTTATGAATTGTTCCTAAATCTTCACCTTGATGTAAGGTATACTCATGTTTCTGAACAGCAGTTTTCTTGTTCTAAGGGAAATTAAAAGTTCTTATTTCTATGAACTTTTCATTTTAACACATTCTAGTTAACAGTGTGAGGCAACATTTTTCAACATCATATCCTTGGCCAAAGAAAAGTTTTATGTTGTTTCCTGACCCACTATTAGTATAATTAGTATTATAATGACTCATTTGACCAAGGTTTTATGACAAAATTTCATGTAAAACAACATGCTGTTACCAACTAAGCAGTTACAGTTCTTCCCATTGGACCCACCTCTGTCTGTTCCTTCAGGTTCATAGCTCTGGTTTCCTCACAGTCACTGCTCTGTTTTTTTGTTTTTGTTTTTTCTCTCTTTTTTTAAAATTTTTGTGGCCAGGCATGGTAACTCACGCCTGTAATCCCAGCACTTTGGGAGGCCAAGGCGGGCGGATCACCTGAGTTCGCTACCAGCCTGGCCAACATGGTGAAACCCAGTCTACTAAAAATACAAAAATTAGCCAGGCGTGGTGGTGCTTGCTTGAAATCCCAGTTACTCAGGAGGCTGAGGCAGGAGAATCACTTGAACGTGGGAAGCAGAGGTTGCAGTGAGCCAAGATTGCACCATTGCACTGTAGCCTGGGGGACAAGAGTGAAACCCCGCCTCAAAAAACAAAACAAAACAAAACAGAAACAGAAAAAAACAAAAAAAAAAAAAACACACAACTTTTGCTTTACTGTGGTAAAATATATATAACATAAAATTTACCATCATAACCATTTTAAAATGTAGAGCTCAGGAGTGATAATTACACTTGCCTATGTGCTACTATCACCACCATCCATCTCCAGAATTTTCATCTTCCCAAACTGAAACTGTACCCATTAAACACCAACTCCCCACTCTCCCCAATCCCGATCCCTTGGAAACCACTGTTCTACTTTCTGTCTCTATGATTCTGACCACTCTAGATACATCATATAATTAGAATCATATAGTACATGACCTTTTGTGACTGGTTTACTTCACTTATCATAATGTGTTCAAGGCTCATCCACGTTGTAGCCTGTGTCAGAATTTCCTTCTTTTTTTAAGGCTGAGTAATATTCCACTGTACAGCTAGACCACATTTTGTTTATTCTTTCATCCATTGGTGGACATTTGAGTTGCATCTACCTT